AAACAGCACATGCAAAGGCTCTGAGGAAGGAAGGACCTGGATGTGTTGTGATGATGGCTGCAGTCTGGCCGGCATACGCAGCAGAGTGAGTCTCCGAGCCAGCTGGTTCTGCCCTGCAAAGCCTTATGGGCCAGGGTGGGAGTTGGGGTCCACCTGATGGGAGGCGGGAGGTGGGGGCCTCTGCTGAGGACAGAGACCCAGTCACCTGCTCCCACCTCTGCACAGGGCAGGATACAGCTGCGGCTGCAGAGGTGGGAGGGGTGAGAGGGCCCTGTGTTATCTGAGTGGAAAGATTAAGAGGGCCGTGGGAAAGTCCTGTTTGTTGGGGACGCCCTGGTCTCTCTGACAACATTCCTGTAACCATTTGCAGATAAGGCCCAGCCCTGGCTACTTACTTGGCACCCTGGCTCTGTCCCAGGCCCTCCCTTGCTGTGATATTTCTTTAGTAAGTCAGCTGCCCCTGCAGGTGGGCTGGTGTGGGGTGGCCCACTTGGCCACCTGCGAATGTGAGGTCTCCCACCCCAGGGAGACAACAGAACACAGACCACGGGAAGATGCAAAAGGCAGAGGGCCTGGGTCCCCCACAAACACATCGCTGGAGGAGAGCCGGGCAGAGGAAGCTTCCGGTTTGGAGAGATTTAGCTGTGTGTTAATCACGGGTAGGGGGTCGACCTCACTGGGATGCGACTCAAACAAATGGTTCAGAAATAAAAATATTTATGAGACCACTGGGAAATGAATGCTGATGGGGTGTGGGATACGATCCCTGATGCTAAGGATTACTAGTCGCTTTTTTAAGGCGTGATGATGACACCGCAGCTTTTAAAAATTGAGATATAATTCAAATACCATAAAATTCACCCTTTTAAAGTGTAATGTGCAGTGATTTTTAGGATATTCCCGAAGTTGGGCAGTCTTCACCACTATCGAAGTCCAGAACATTTTCATCGCCCCCAAAAGCAACATCGTACTAATTACCAGTCATTCCCTAGGCTCCCAGCAACTGCTAATCTACTTTCCGTCTCAATGGATTTGCCTGTTCTGGGCTTCTCATATGAATGGAATCAGACAGCGTGCGGCTTTTTGCATCTGGCTTCTTTCACTGAGCATGATGTTTGCAAGATTCACCCGCGTTGTAGCGTGTATGGGCATGTCAGTCCTTTTTATTGCCGAGGATTTTTCATTGTAAGGATATGGTGCATTTTGCTCATTCCTTCATCAGCTGACAGACATCTGGGCTGTTTCTAACTTTAGGCTGTTGTGAATGACGCTGCTACGAACATTTCTGTGCAAGGTTTTTTGGTGAAGATATTTTCAGTTCTCTTGGGGATATACCTGGGAGTAGAATTCCTGTGGCTTTTTTTCAAGAGTCCATTTTTAGAGCTACATATCAAAATATTAGAGTGAAATGATAAAATTCTAGGGTTTGCTTCAAAATCACATGGAAGAAGGAAGCAGGGAATGTATTGATGCAAAAAGACAGGCTGTGTGAGCTGAATTTGGAAGCAGGGCAAGTGCATCAGGGTTTATTACGCTGTTTTTATCTGTTTAAATTTGGGCATAAACGTTCTTTTTGAAATTGAGGCTCAGTTCAGAAGGGCTTCCCTGTCCGCTTTTTAAATTCCCACCCAGTCACTCTCTAGTACAGAAATATAACATGATATGGTATCACTTATGTGGGGAATCTAAAGAAAGACACAAATGAACTTATTTACAAAACAGAGACAGTCTCACAAACATAGAAAACAAAGTAGAGGGGAAGAGGGTGGGAAGGTATAAGTTGGGAGACCGAGATGTGCAGATAATAACTACTATATATAAAATAGATAAACAACAAGGTCCTACTATAGAGCACAGGAAACTATATTCAATAGCTTGTAATAACCTATAATAAAAAAGAATATGAAAACAAATATATGTATGTGTATGTCTGACTGAAACATTGCACTGTACACTAGAAATTGACACAACATTGTAAACTGACTATACTTCAGTTAAAAAAAATTAACAAACAAGAAACGTAATGTGACCCACATGCGTCGCATTAAATTTTCTAGTAGCCACATCTAAAAAAGTAAAAAGAAACAGGGCAAGTTGATTTGTACTTTAACTCCATATATCCAAAACATGATCATTTTAATATGTGAGCAATTTAAAAATTATGAGAAGACATTTTACTTCCTTTTCTCCTAGGACTTCAAACCCCGAATACTGACAGAATATCTCCATCTGGTCTCGCTCCATTTCAAGGACTCCATAGTGACTCCTGGCTCCCCGATTGGATAGGGCAGCTCCGTTTGGAGTATTTACTGCAGTTTTCAAATGCTCTTGTGACTTCTTTTTTGACTTGGTTGTTTTAGTCCGTCTACAACTAGAACATTGGCCCACAAAGGGCAAACACATTATGTGTCTCACTAAGTACCGTGTCCCTGTGTCTAGACCAGTGAATCAAGCCCAGAGCAGGTGAGGAGTGAGCAAGTAGAGAACTGAGGAGTATGCAAGACAGTGAATCTCTGCCCATCTCACAGGTGGGGAAACAGAGGCCCAGGCACAGCTGAGGTCCTTCTGGGAAGAAGTCCAGGGCTCATCTTGTGCACTGCCTGCCCCTGGCAAGGTGGATGGGGACCCCGAGGGACCCCACAGGAGGGACCCAACTTCCTCCCTGGGCCCTCTGCTCTGCCTTCCTGGGCACCTGCCATGGCTGCCGGCGTGGAGAAGGACGGGGCCCTTCTCCCTGGGTCAGGCGGGAGGAGCCCTGTGGAGTGGGTGCAGCTTCTGTGGGGAAACAGGAAGGCGAGAGGCACAGGGGCATGTGGGTGGGAGCCCCGGGCCTCAGGGGCCTGGATGCAGCCTGGCCTGAAGCCATAGGGTTGTCAGATGCAATACAGGACTCCAGGTACATTTGAATTTGAGCTAAACAACTGATCATTTTTTAGTACAAGTCTGTCCCAAGTAGTGGATGGGACGTACTAAAAAGCTGCTTACCTCAAGTTCATTTTCACCAGGCTTTCTTATTTTTACTTGCTAGATCTGGCAACCCAATTTGGCGCTGGCACAATCTAGCCAGCCTGACCCCTCCTGCCCCCCCTGGCCAGCTGTATTAGTCCAAATCAAGCCTCTGCCTTCTGGTCTAGGGCTCCCAGGGTCCTGTCTTGGGGAGAGGGCCATACACAGTCCTCTGTCCTGGCTGCCATGTGCTCTGGGTACATGCAGAGTGGAGCCCACAGTTGGTGCTTGGGAAGCTGCTGGCGGGGCTGGATATGCAGCTCCTGTCTCCCCATTAAGGCAGATGTGCTCGAGCAGAAGGAAGAACTCTGGCGTGAGGCTCAGGTCCTGTGTGCTGCCAGCCCCCAGGGATTCCTTGGACCCCAGACCCCTCTGATGACTGCAGCCAGTTTCACCAGGGCCACTGTTTCTTGAGCCCCTACTCTGAGGAGAACATTTCACATGTTTTCTCTAGTCCTTATATCGACCCTGCCAGGTGAGGGGACGTGCAGTCCCATTTTATAGGTGTGAAGACTGAGGCCAGAGAAGTGACGTCCCCTGCCCAAGGCTACCCAGCCTGAGAGTGGTGGAGCCATGTTCCCAGCCAGGGCTGCCTGACTCCTGAGGTTGACATCTGAGGGCCATCCAGAGGCCAGTGGCTGTCTTAAGCCTGGAGCCCCTTCCCTTGAGTTGTTCTGGCTTCAGGGCTGGAAGCCACCCTACAGGGATCAGAGATGGGGCTGCTTCTCAAAGGTCTGTTCCCCAAGTTCCTCCTAGGCCACAACCAGCTGAGGATCCAGTGACCATATTCAGTGGCACCGATGTGAGGCGGGAAGGTCAGGGTTTCCCAAAAGTCTCTGGACCCAAGAATTTCCCAGGACTAGCCCTGGAGTTTCAAGAAGTCTGGAGTGGGGTCTTGGAGTCTGCATTTAACCAGCAGCCCCAGGTGAAACCACTACCGCTGGTTTCAAAGCCAATGATGAATTCCTTGCAGACTCCTCAGGTTCTCATACTGCTCCCCAGACCCTGCAGAGAGCCATCCTGGTATGTGCAGAGGGAGGGTGCTTTCTCCTGGGAAGGGAATGCCAGAGGCCCCAGATGTGGCCCCAACCCCTGTACCCTCAGCCTGTGCCCCCTGAGGACAGCTCAGGAGGGGAGAGTGGCGTGTGACCTCCACACAGTGGGAGCTGGGGTTATGCTCCAGGTATCCCCAGCTCAGTGGCTGAGAATGACAGTTTGTCCCCAAATGGGGCTTCCGAGGGGGTTTCCTACCTCCTCACCCCCGTGGGGATTCTCTGAGCCCCAACTTAACAGATACCAACAGCTGGTGATTCTCAGAGGAAAAGTCCCTAAATGTTCTGTAACGGCTTCTCACCTCCACCTGCCCTCTGCTGTGGCCCCTTTCCACCCCTCCCCATATTATCTGTCCCAGGCAGATGGGGCCCAGCAGGGGAGGGGAGCTTAGGGCACCCCAGCCTCTCAGTGTGACATGCTTTTGTGCCTGGAGCCAGCTTTGGGCTGGAAGAGCCAACAGGCTCTTCTAGGAAGCCATGCTTTGGTGGTTTAGATCCTTACAATTCAAAGAGTGGTCCAGAGGCCTGCAGAATCAGCATCACCTGAATGCTTGCTAGAGATGCAGTGTTTCAGGCCCCGGCCAGATCCCCTGACTGCTGAAGATGGCATCCTGTCCCCAGGAGAAAGTATATTCTCCCTCCACACACACCTGGCAGACCCTTTGTAGGATCAGATTAGGCAATGGGGTGGGGGTGGAGGAGGCCCGTCTAGGGCCCAGAGCTTAGGTACGTCCGTCCTCTGCTCCCTACCCCTTTCTCCACCTGGGCACACCCCAGGCAGCCACTCCTGCGAGGGCCCGCAGTGGACCAATTGTGTCAGGATCTTGTGGACCCCTGGCCCTTTTCTGGGTCACCAGGGATGGGGCATAGATCCCTATTGCCCGTGGCAGAAGGGCAAAGGCCAGGACTAGGGGCCTTAGCCCCTAGACTCTCGGCCCTCTGCCCCTGGTGGGTGGCCAGGAGGAGGAGAGTGCAGAAAGAAAGGAAAAACTTTCAGGTGGCAAGCCTTTTTTCCTGGTAGATACCTGGAAAGGCCTTTACATCCAGAAACAGTACTATTCCCGCTAAGAATAGTTGTTTTGTGCTCAATATGTGTCTGGTACCCAGATGCGTGCAGATGTCCAGCCGTGGCTGCAGCAGATTCATGGGTTTAAAACACAATCCGCGGTCCCACTCCAGGTCTTCTGAATCTCCAGCGTGGGGCCTGGGAGACTGCGTTTAATGTGGGCCCTGGGGAATTCTTGAGCTCAGCGCTTCTGAGGAAACACTGACCTTTTCTGAGCCCTGAATGAGGCTGCCCAGCACTGACATTCATTCATTCGTTCATTTGTTTATTTGCTGTTTACGGAACATCCACCGCATTCACTGACCCACCCGCTCTATTCCCCTCAGGATCACTGGTCACGGTTCCCGAGTCCGCCTCCGAGCCCTAATCGTCCCCTCCCTGCCGCCGTTCTGTCTTCGCCCTCCATCCCTCCAACTGGCGTCAGCTCTTTCTCGCCTAGGCTTGGTCCCCAGGGAGCTCGGTGGACGGGAGACCCTCCCAAGCCCCGCCCTCGCCGGGGCAGCCGAGCCCACCTCCCCAGCCCGCGACTGCGCTCTGGGCCCCGCGCGCCCCGCCCCCACCGGCGTCCTGCGCTGAAGCTGCTCGGAGGGGCTCAGGCTTCGACCGCATCGCCCCGGTTGCCGCTGCCCGCCGGGCATCCCAGCCCTTCGGCGGAGAGGCGGAGCCGGAGGCTGGGGTGTGGGCTCCAGGTGGCCTCTGGGAAGGATGAAGCAGGTAGGACCGCGGGGATGCTGGGGATGGAAGGGTGGTGGCAAGGACGAGAGAGGCCTGCGGGAGCGCTGGGAGAAGCGGGGAGGGGGGAGGTGTGCGAGCCGGAGCTTGGGCCTCGAAGGACGCCAAATGGGCCGGAGGGTGGAGAAGGCCGAAGGGGAGGCGTCCCGTTAGCAGAGAGGGTTAGGGCAGAAGGGCCTGTGCACATCAGAGGGATGTTTCACCTGCCTTTGGTGTCCCCTAGGCCCTGGTGGACGATACTGAGGATGTGTCCCTGGACTTTGGCAACGAAGAGGAGCTGGCCTTTCGGAAAGCCAAGATCAGGTGTGTTGGGACTGCGCGATAGGCAAGCATCTCCCAAAGCTGCAACTTAATTTATTCACATTCATTCACCCATTCATTAAGTCATTCCTTCAGAATGTACTGAGTATGTGGCCTGTGCCAGGCATGGGGCTAGAGACACACCTTGGACAGATCAGACAAGGACCTGCCCTCCTGGAGCCTTGTGGTCTCCAAGGAGAGGGGACAACATTGAACAGGCAAACAAAGATGTTAACAAGATAATTAGCGTGAGGAGAGTTGAGGATAAAATCAACAAGGTGATGAAAGAGAAAGTAATTGGCAGAGGCTGGCTGCCTTAGTGCAACCAGGGAGGGCCTCTCAGAGGAGGTGAATTTCAGCTGAGCCCTGAATGATGGCAAGCACCCCGCCTTGGGAGACTGGAGGAAGCACTCCAAGCAGAGGGAATAGCAGGTCCAAGGGCTGGAGGCTGTGATGGAAGGTCAGAGAAAAGCCTTTGCGTTTGGAGGGTCGCAGGGGAGGGGAGAGGGTTTGGCAGGAGGCTGGAGAGGTGGACAAGGGCTTGAATTTTTATTCTTATCTCTGTTTCAGCTGCAGCCAGACAGACATAGTATTGGCTTAAAACAATAGAAATTTATTCTCTCACAGCTCTGGAGGACAGAACTCCAAAATCAGTTTTATTGGGCTGAAACCAAGGTGTGCGTAGGACCACACTCCCTCTGGAGGTTCTAGGGGAAAATCTGTTCCTTGCCTTGTCCAGCTTCTGCTGGCCAAAGGGCTCTTCCTCCATCCTTGAGGCCAGCTGTAGCATCTTCCAATATCTCTGTTCCATTTTCACATTGCATTTTCCTCTGTGTCAAATCTCCCTCTGCATTCATCTTATAGGATTATTTGTGATTGCATTTATGGCCCACCCGTATTATCTTCCCATCTGAAGATCCTTCACTTAATCATACCCGCAAAGTCCCTTTTGCCGTATCTGGTAACATTCACAGGTTCTAGGGATGACTGTCGATTGAGAGGCCATTATTCAGCTTACCATAATGACCAATGACTGGCTTTAGGGAAAAACACTGTAAGAGAACAGGAATCCCGGGAAAGAATTTTCTAGAACATATAAACTCACTATATATTCAGTCATTACTGAGCACCTCCTGTATACCCAGCTCTGGGCTGGTGGCTGGGAATACACAGTATACAGGACACGCCCTGTTTCCATGGAGTTACCTGGTCTGGGCAGGGATGGTCAGCCTCGACACTGCTGACAGTTTGGGCCAGATATCTCTTTGCTGTGGGCTGTTCTGTGCCCTGTAGGATGCTTGGCAGCATCCCTGGCCTCTCCGCACCAGATGCCAGTGGTGCCCCACTAGTAATCCCTGCAGTCACTGCCAGTCCCCTGGGAGGCAGACTTGCCCGCGGTTGAAAGCTAGTGGTGTAGTGATTCCCATGGCTGTTATTATTCAGTGCTTTAAAGGCAGTGATCAGCAAAAGCTGGCGCACTTATCCTGGCTGGCGGAGGAAGTGGCTTCCAAGCTGATACCTGAAGGCTGGGTAGGAGTTAGCTAAGGGAAGCGGGGAGGGTGTCACGTGTAAAGGCTTAAAGGTGAGATCATGAGTTTAGGGAGCTGAGACTGGTTTACTGGGAAGTAGTCTGAGCAGAGGCTGGGCCACAACCAGCAGGGCTTATAAGTGACGTTCTGGTGCTGTGCTGTCCACCAGGACACGTGGGAATGTACTACATCTGTGCTATCCAGTGTGGTAGCCACCAGCCTCATGTGGCTGTTGAACCCTTTAATGTGGCTAGTGTGACTAAGGGACAGAGATTTGGATATTTTTAATTTTAATTGCCCATGTGGCTACCATATTGGACAGTGCAGTCCTAGAGCTGGGTTTTCATGGGGCAGTGACATGGTCAGAATTGCAGGATGAAGGGTGGACTGCAGAAGCAGAAGGGAGCAGAAGCTGGCAGCTTGGACCAGGGCATTGGCAGGGGTGATGGAAGGAACTAGAGGGGCCCATAGGCACTGAGGAGGCAGACTGAGCCAACCTTGGTGATGATCAAGATGTGGTTTGCGGGTGGGGATAGTCAAGGGTGATGCCCAGGCTTCTGGCCTCGTAACCCAGCACTTATGGGGGGAAGATGTTGAGCCCAGGGTTGCCTTTGTTGGGTTGTGGTGGAATGTTTTAATGGCCAGGTTTGGTGGGCGACTGCGAAAAGAGGCTGGGAGCTCCGGGGAGGTCATCTGGGAGGCAGCAGCCCATGGACCTGTGTGTGTCTGAGAGCTGCTGATCCCAGAATCCTCTGGAGCAGATTTCTGGTCCAGCCCAGGACCTACTTAACCAGGGCACAGGGGATGGGCCGGGGAATTTCATATAGCATCCCTAGTTGATTCCGATGCTCAAGACTGTAGAGAAGGCTCTAAATCCTGAGCTTTAATAAATGAAGTCACCCAGTTGGCAGGATGGAAAGGGGGTTTGTAACTGGGACCCGTGGATGGACTTCACAGGGTCCAGGAACCCTCTGGAAACTATTATCTAGGTTTCATATGTGTGCTGCTTTAGGAAAAGGACTCAAACTTTAATTACATTATCAAATGGGTCCATGATCCAAACAAGTTGAGAATCACTACTGTAGGGTGAGAATTGATATTGTAAATTCCACGTTGAAACAGATTCCAGGCTGACTTTGAAGGGAGGTGAAATTATGGAAGGGGCTCTATTAACAGGAGTCTGGGATATCGGGGCCATTTCTTCCTTTGCCACTTACTGGCTTTGTGATTTTGAGCCATGTTCTCCTTGCCTTTATTGAGCCTCCATTGACCTATCTGTAAAATGGGGCAGCTGTACCAACCTGACCTCACCACGTGGTTGCTCTACAGTTTGTTCAGTACATATTTATGCAACATCTGTGTACAAGTGCTGGCTAAGCCCTGGGGTTAGAGACCTGGTCCCCGCCCTTCCTGTCCCTGGTTCCAGGTCAGTGAGGTGCAGAGTGGTGGGGAGGGCACCTTGCAGGATCAGTGGAGGATGATACAGCACACCGGGGCAGGTGGAGGAACTGTTAGTTATGTGCTGCTGTGTGTGTGTTTTCCCGTTTTCTTTTTTACTTTTTTTAATTGTGCAAAAAAACCCACAACATAAAATTTACCATTTTAACCATTTTTAAGTGGACAGTTCAGTAGCACTAAATATATTCGTGTTTTTGTAAAACAGATCTGCAGAGCTTTTTCATCTTGAAAATCTGAAACTGTGTCCCCATGAAACACCAACTCTCCACCTCCCCCTTACCCCAGCTCCTGGCAATCATCCTTCATCTTTAAGGTCTCTCTGAATTTGGCAACTTTAGCTCCCTCATGTAAATGGAATCATAGAGCATTTGTCTTTTTGGGACTGACTTATTTCACTTAACCTCAAAGTTCATCCATGTTGTAGCATGAGGCAGAATTTCCTTCCTTTTAAAGGCTGAATAATATTCCATTGTATGTATTTAGCTCATTTTGTTCATCCATTCATCTGTCAAGGGACACTTGGGTTACTTCCACGTTTTAGCTCTTGTGAATAGCACGATGAACATGGATGTGCAAATATCTTTGAGACCCTGCTTTCAATTCTTCTTGATATATTCCCAGAAGTGGAATTGCTGGGTCATATGGTAATTCTATATTTAATTTTTTGAGGAACTTCCATACTATTTTTCCTAACAGTTGTACCATTTCGTAATCCTGTCATCAATGCACGGGTTTCCAGTTTTTCTACATCCTCACCAACACTTGTCATTTTCTGGGTTTTTTTCATAGTAGCCATCTTGATGGATGTGTGGCGGTATCTCGTTGTGGTTTTGAATGACATTTCCCAAGTGATTAGTGATGTTCAGCATATTTTCATGTGCATGTTGGCCATTTGTATATCATCTTTGGAGAAATGTCTATCCAAAATCCTTTGTCTATTTTAAAGTTGTTATTAGATTGTTTGTTGCTCAGTTGTAGGCGTTCTTTATATATTCTGGATATTAACCCCTTATGAGGTGTATGACTTGCAAATATTTTCTGCAGTTCCATATGTTGCCTTTACACTCTATTGATTGTGTCCTTTGATGCACAGATTTTTTTAAATTTCATGTAGTCCCATTTACCTATTTTTCCTTTTGTTGTCTTTGCTTTTGGTGTCATGTTGTGCATGTATATGTTTTTATTGAACTATTATTCATGTATCATAAATTCACCCTTTTCAAATATACAGTTCAGTGTGGTTTTCAGTATTTTCACAAGGTTGCACAACCATCATCTCTATCTAGTTCCAGAATTTTTCATCCCCCCAAATGGAAGCCGTGTACCCAGTAAGTAGTCACTTCCCATTTCTCCTCTCCCCCAGCCCCTGGAAACCACTAATCTACTTTCTGTCTCTATGAATTTGCCTACTCTGGACATTTCATATACAGGGGATCATACAATATGTGGCCTTTTGCCTGCTTCTTTCACTGAGCATCATGTTTTCAAGGTTCATCCTTGTTTTGGCAGATCCTTCAATACTTTTTATGGCCGAATAATATTTCAGTGGGTGGATAGAGTACATTTTCTTTATCCTTCATAAGTTGATAGACATTTGAGCTGCTTCTGCTTTTTGCTTCTTGTAACTAATGCTCTTATGAACGTTCATGTATGAGTTGATGTGTGAACATATGTCTTCCATTCTCTTGGGCATAAACCTAGGAGCAGAATTGCTGGGTCATATGGTAACTCTGTGCTTTAGCAATGCTGTATTGCAGAGCAACTTGTAGTGAGTACTCTGGGCTTCCAGCTGTCTTGGGGAGCAGGGGGAGCCTGGATTCGAGGTCAGGCAGATCCCAGGTTTGAATCTTGGTTCCATCATTCCCCAGCCAACTAACTGTGGTTGTGGGTTCGACCTGGCAGACAGCCTCCCAAGACACAAAGAGGCTTTCATATAGAACTGTGTACTTGGCTCTCTGGAAGGATGCAAGGCAGTGAGGCTGCATCTTCATCTCAGAGAGGGAGCCAGCCTCTACC